ATGGACTTGCCAGAGTTCCTCGCGATGCTGGAGGGCCGGGATGCCACCGACCGGGTGGCTGCCCTGGAGTCCGCCAGGCAGAGTGTGTTTGAGGCGACGGAGGATGAAGCCAATGCTCTGTTCCTTGGTAGTCCAGGGGCTACCCTTTACCTTTTTGTTTTTGGTTCTGGGCTCCCTTGTAAAGTAACCACCCCCAAAAAGGGTGCCCTGATGATAATATGGTTCCTGGGCTACAAAGGTTCCACAAAGTCATCTTGATGCTCAAAGATCCGGTTTGGGATGTCCAGCGAGCTGCAATCCAAGTGCTCTCCGAGCTGAGTGGGCGATTCGACCTCGACGCCCTGCACTGCTTGAACCGACAGCTCTTTCACCCTGATCCTAAACTAAGGATGATGAGTGCCTGTGTCCTGACGCATGTGGATAATTCTGTGGATGATGCGGAAGACTACTACCAAGTCTACCATGATCGGTGGACAGCAGAAGCTGCTTTAAGCCGTCAAGGCCAACTGCTGGAGTTTCTCCATGCAAGCTTCAAGGCAGACAGGGAGCTTGTCCTGACAGTCGTGAAGCAGGACGGGCACTCCTTGAAGTACGCGAACCCGCACCTGCAGGACGACGACGAGATCGTGCTCGCCGCAGTCGCCCAGAGTGGAAGGGCGGTCCAGTTTGCCAGCCAGCAGGCCGAAACCCTAAACCCTAAACCCTAAACCCTATACCCTAAACCCTAAACCCTAAACCCTAAACCCTGAACCCCAAACAGGTCATTGCCAGACACTTGGGCCTCCGCGAATTGCGCGGGGGACGAGGCCTCTGCTTGTTTGGTGACTACTTGGTGTTGGAGGTCATCGGCCACGGCGTCTGCGGCAACGTTGCAAAGGCCCAGCACCTGAGAACCAAGAAGGTCGTGGCCATTAAGAAGATGTCGTATGACCGCGAGGTGTGGGTCGATGGCATCCCGGCACCAGTTGTGAGGGAAATGACGCTGCTGCGCAAGTGCAGGCATCAGAACGTGGTGAAGTTGCTCGACGTGAATTTGGACTGCAAAGACGCGCGAGTGTCCAGGTTGGCTTTTGGGACATTTCATACTTCCCTATTTGGGTTTATAAGGGGCCCTATACAATATACAGACATTCTTCACAGGGTTTCAAAGCCAACCCAGGTGTTTATGATCTTCGAGCTTCTTCCGACGGACCTTCGCAAGGTGCTCTCAGTGTGGAAGCAGACGTCCCAATTGTTGCCATTTGAGCAAGTGAGAGACTTCTCCGAGAACATCCTAAGTGGCCTGTTTCTGGGTTGTGCATTGGGACAGTTTGTGAGTTTTTTTCCTTTTTTGTTCCTTCTAGGGTAACCTGTTCATAAATAGTTTTTTCAAAGGACTTCAAGCACAACGCAGGTTTGAATGCCACACCAGGCAAATTCTTCACCGCGACCTGAAGCCTGAGAACATTCTCCTTGGCAATGATGGCGTCCTGAAGATAGCAGACTTCGGCCTGTCGCGCTTGCAAGGGCATCACTTGTTGACCAACTTGACACAGGAAGTGGTGACGCTTTGGTACAGGAGTCCAGAACTCCTCCTTGGCGCAAAAGCCTATGGATTTGAGGTGGATTGCTGGTCGGCAGGCTGCGTGATCGCGGAGATGTGCACCGGCAGCCCGTTGTTCGCAGGAGAGACTGAAGCTGCAGCTTTGCTGAAGATCTTTCAGCTGCTGGGCATACCGTCACAAACGAATTGGCCGCAGGGCACGCAGCTCCACCAGTTCGTCGAGACCTGGTAGGTAACCTTTAACCTTTTTGGGGGAATATAATCCCCTTATACTCCCAAAGGTGAACCCTAAACCCTAAACCCTAAACCCTAAACCCTAAACCCTAAACCCTAAACCCTAAACCCTAAACCCTAAACCCCAAACCCCAAAACCCTAAACCCTAAACCCTAAACCCTAAACCCTGAACCTTTACTTCCCCCAGGCTATTGGACAACTAAGGAGAGGTTCCCGGCATGGTCAGCGACAGGACTGAAAAACGTCCTCGAGGTGCGGCCAGAGCTCCAGGAAGACAAAGGTGATGAGCTGCTCAGTGGTTCCTGGGCTTTCTTCTGGCTGGCTCTTAGGACTTTGACTATTTTTGGGTTTTTGTAGAAACTACCATAAGGAGCCTAAGAGTTAGACCTTTTTGGGAGGGGTTCAGAAGTCAGCGCTAAGGTTTGCTTCACTTGCAACCTGACCAGCGTCTTTCATCAAGGAGGGCACGCTGTCATCAGTTCTGCAGGCCATGTCCCGAGTGCAGTGACGACGATCGGCTTGCTCCGAAATGAGGGAAAAGAATGGCAAATCATATTTCGCTATATTACCCTGAATAAGGAGTGTTTTTGAGGGAAAAGAATAGCAAATAATATTTCGCTATATTACCCTTAGTAAGGAGTAGTTTTTTGTATTTTCCGGGGTTCTTCAGCAATTGGTAGGTAATGAGGGAATGTGTACGTCAGTTTGTCTGGTCACGACAGTGCTGTGACCCTGCGTCCATCGAGTTTCATGCCCGTTGGCCCTGAACCCTAAACTTAGGGATACTTGCGAACAACTTAAAACTTTCGGGGTACTATAATTGCTAAAAGCAGCAAAAACTAACCCTAAACCCTAAACCCTAAACCCTAAGCCCTAAACCCTAAACCCTAAACCCTATTCCCTAAATCCTAATTCCTTGGTGCAGGTAAAATTAAAATGAGTTGTAGTTTTTGCTAGGTTTTCCAAGTTCAGCATAGTAAACCCTAAACCCCAAACCCCAAACCCCAAACCCCAAACCCCAAACCCCAAACCCTAAACCCTAAACCCTAAACCCTAAACCCTAAACGCCTAAACCCTAAACCCTAAACCCTAAACCCTAAACCCTAAACCCTAAACCCTAAAGCCTCCAAGCTGTGAGGGCAGGGCCAGATCCCGGCCGGGAAGAGGGCGCAAAATTTACATGCACGATGCCTGGTTTAGGGTTAGGGTTTAGGGTTTAGGGTTTAGGGTTTAGGGTTTAGGGTTTAGGGTTTAGGGTTTAGGGTTTGGGGTTTAGGATTTAGGGTTTAGGGTTTAGGGTTTAGGGGTTAGGGTTTAGGGTTGTCTTGGTGTGGCTAGTTGTGCTTTCTCACCGGCACGGCTAATTCGATCTGTCTTTTTTTTACTCTGTGAGGCGCGAAAGAGCCTTATCGCATCACAGCGCAGCAGAGATCTGAGCCATAGGCTCAGAGGTGGCCAGCTGCTGTGGAAATGAGACGAAGGGGTCGAAAGAGGGACCCCTAGAAGGGACCCTTAATTGGCCCTTAATTTGTTTCCCTTTCTAACCCCTGCCTTATACATAGTCCCTGTACACCTAGGTGGCCCCTAAATAAGCGGTTCTTTATACCTTAGGGACTGGGAAGGTAAGCTTTAACCTTTTGGGTTGCGTAGAATCCTTCTTTTAGGCTAAAGTATTCAGCCCCGAAGATACTGGGAGTCTGCAAACGTGATGGGAAATCAGAGTGACCTCTTATACTACCAGCATAAGTTAACTTTGTCATAGTTGGGTACCATCTTACAATGATAAGGGTACTTAAACCCTATAAGGAATAAACAACTCAATCTAAATATTATCCCAACCATGAGCTAGCTAACTGTCTTAGTTCTGCAGCCTCTCTCCGTTGGCGCCTGGCAAATTGCCGTCTTCTGCTTGCTGGCGGCACAGGAAAGCACATTGCTGTCGGCAGCTGCAGACCTTAAAAGAATCTGCGAGTGCGATGGGCTGAAATGTCACTAGGTTGGCCCTTGGGGATGCGTTTTGATGTTTTCCCTTATTCTAGATCAGTGTTAGGGATCCTTTTTGCTTTTTGGGTTATGGGCTTTCTTATACATAAGCAAAAAGGATTCTTTTTTCTTCCTAGGGGAACAGGGATTAAGATTTCCCTTATTGGGTTTAAGAGAAGCTGTTTGGGAATATTGTCAGAGGGCTTTAAGGGCCGTCCTGGTCATGTTGCTGGTCACCCCACTGTCTTGGATGAGCTGCCCATCAGTTACTGCAGAGCACTCAAGTCACAAGGGACGGACTGTCCGATGTAAGTGACTTAGGGGCCTAAACCCTAAACCCTAAACCCTAAACCCTAAACCCTGAACCCGAAACCCTAAACCCTAAACCCTGAACCCGAAACCCTAAACCCCAAACCCTAAACCCGAAACCCTAAACCCCGCACCCTAAACCCTAAACCCTAAACCCCAAACCCTAAACCCTAACCCTAAACCCTAAAGCCCCAAAAGTCCTCAAAGAGCCCCCGCGTTGGAGGCCACGGGAGCCACGACCGAGAAGCCCTTTGCGGGCGGCCTCATCGGCGGAGAGTCCGCCTTCGCGGGGCAGGCCTCGCCTCGTGAAGGGTTTAGGGTTTAGAGTTTAGGGTTTAGGGTTTAGGGTTTAGGGTTTCGGGTTTAGGGTTTAGGGTTTAGGGTTTAGGGTTAGGGTTTAGGGTTTAGGGTTTAGGGGTTAGGGTTAGGGTTTAGGGTGTAATTGGGATTTAGGGTTCAGGGCTTAGGGCAGAAAACCCTAAAGCTTCTTGGTCTAGTTATCAGTGCTGCTCACGCCCCCAAAAGCACTTTGCATAGGCCCCCTAAAGAGGGTTCTAGAAATTTTGGGTGCGAAGCCGTAAACCCTAAACCCTGAACCCTAAACCCTAAACCCTAAATGCAGGAGTTAGGGTTGGGGTTTACGGTTTAGTCCCGGAGGGATATTCTTTAAGGGATAAGATGGGGGCCCTCAACCCCTCAACCTCTCAATCCCTCAACCCCTCAACCTCTCAATCCCTCCCCTCAACCCTCAACCCCAAAACCCCTCAACCCTAAAACCCTACAACCCCCCCTGAACTCAGCAAGAAGAAGCCCGCTAAAACCCTACTAACAGTCCTTATTGGGGATTTTGGTACCCCTACTTTTGTCCCTGCCAAACCAAGCCCTCTAAAAACTCTTCAAACCCAAACCCTAAACCCTAAGCCCTAAGCCCTAAACCCTAAACCCTAAACCCTAAACCCTAAACCCTAAACCCTGAACCCTGAACCCTGAACCCTGAACCCCAAACCCTAAACCCTAAACCCTAAACCCCCTAAACCCTAAACCCTCTAAAACTCCGGAAGGACTTCAACTTCGACCCGCTTGGCTTGGCCGTGAAGTGCGAGAAGCCGGGGACCTCGCTCTTGGGGTTCGGGTTTAGGGTTTAGGGTTTGGGGTTTAGGGTTTAGGGTTTCGGGTTTAGGGTTTAGGGTACCTCGAACTTGGGGGGTATATTCGAGGGGGGGGGCGGGAAGGGGGGGGGGGGTTTGACATTTGGGGAGTTCGGTTTTTTTTTTTTTTTCTGGATTTTGGGGATTTAGGGTTTTGGGGTTTGGGGGTTTTGCGGGTTTTGCGGGTTTTGCGGGTTTTGCGGGTTTTGTGGGTTTGTGGGGGTTTGGGTACAGGGGGGTGGGGAGGTGTTTTGGGTTTTAGGTTTGGGGGTTTAAGGTTTATTTCGCGGCTCAGGGTTCACTTGGAGGCTCATGGTACTCAGTAACCCAATTCTACTTGTACTTATAACCCAATTAAAACCCCTAATTGGGTACATAAGGGGGCTTATAGGTGGGTACTAACTGCACTTTGTAAGAACTAAGTACCCTGAACCTCCAAGCCTCCAAATAGGGTTTGGGGGTTTGCAGGGTTCAGGCCTGATACGGCCCTTCTATTCCCTTAGGGATTTTGGAAAAGGGGCCCCAAAACCCAAAATTTGCAACCTTAAGGGTCCCGGGTAGAAGCCCTAGAGTTTAGGGTTTCGGGGGGGGGTTTTTGCAGGGCTTTGCAGGGTCAACCGGGCCGAGCTTTCTCTGGGTTGCTGCGCAGGAGCTTAAAGTTTTTGTAGCTGAGATTAAGTCGATGCAACATGTACAGCCCGGAACCCTAAACCCTAAACCCTAAACCCTAAACCCTAAACCCTAAACCCTAAACCCTAAACCCTAAACCCTAAACCCTAAACCCTGAACTCTAAACCCTAAACCCTAAACCCTAAACCCTGAACTCTAAACCCTAAACCCCAAACCCTGAACTCTAAACCCTAAACCCTAAACCCTAAACCGCACTACAGTACAGCCTTTTTCCCTCTCTCCAGCACACGCCTTGCTAGGTACCTGCCCTGGTTCCGCGAGGCCTTATGCAGCGGGTCCAGAGGGTTCAGGGTTCAGAGCGGAGGGTTTGAGGTCCCCAAACCCTAAACCCGAAACCCTAAAGCCCAAACCCTAAACCCTATAGCCCTATAGCCCTATAGCCCTATAGCCCTATAGCCCTATAGCCCTATAGCCCTATAGCCCTACAGCCCTATAGCCCTATAGCCCTGTAGCCCTATAGCCCTACAGCCCTAAACCCCTCAACTCTGAGAACATACATGAGCCTGAATCTGAACCCCAGGGCGCAAAATCTGACCACCAGCTTTGGGAGGGTCTGATCCCGTACCCCGGAGGGTTTAGGGTTTAGGATTTAGGGTTTAGGGTTTAGGGTTTCCTGTAGCCAACATAGGCTTTCATGCGGCAGAACTTCCAACAACCTCAGCTCCACCAGTTTGCTGACCACATCAGATGCAGATTAGACCCTAAACCCTAAACCCTAAACCCTAAACCCTAAACCCTCGATATCTGATGCAAGTGCGCTGCCCATGCCCACAATGGCAAGCTGGCATTGCCGGCGGCCAGCAGTATCCGCAGTGCGGACGCGGGAGTTTTGCAAAAGGGGTTAGGGTTTGGGGTTTAGGGTTTAGGGTTTGGGGTTTAGGGTTTAGGGTTTAGGGTTTGCTTTTTATCAAGTGGTGATGGCCCTGCTGCGCAGGAGGGGTTGGGGTCTAGCCTTGCAGAGGTTTAGGGGCACGTGGGTTTGACGTCTCCAAGGTGTGGTTCTAGAGAAAGGGTTTAGGGTTTAGGGTTTAGGGTTCAGGGTTTAGGGTTCAGGGTTTAGGTTCTTGAGAAAGGACGAAAGAACCTCGCTACTGAGTGGTGTGGGGTATTCAAAGCCGACTCATACCTGCAGTTCGGAGCCCAATTCCCGAAGTATAGCTAGCTGGCTTCCCAACCCTAAACCCTAAACCCTAAACCCTAAACCCTAAACCCTAAACCCTAAACCCTAAACCCTAAACCCTGAACCCTGAACCCTGAACCCTGAACCCTGAACCCTGAACCCTGAACCCTGAACCCTGAACCCTGAACCCTGAACCCTGAACCCTAAACCCTAAACCCTAAACCCTAAGCCCTAAACCCTAAACCCTAAACCCTAAACCCTAAACCTAAACCCCAAACCCCAA